TTGACCTCCCAAAGTGCTAGCATTTTAGATGTGCACCATCATGCCTGGCCTTCTCTTCTAATTCTCGTTCTCTTGTTATTTCCACTATATCTTCAGTTACTTCCTCCACTGAAGTCTTGAATTCATCAAAGTCACTCATAAGGGTTGGAATCACTTTCTTCCAAACTCGTGTTAATGTTGATAAGTTGACTTTTTCCCATGAATCATGAATGGTCTGAATGGCATCTAGAATGGTGAATCCTTTCCAGAAGGTTTTCAGCTTACTTTGCCCAGATTCGTCAGAGGAATCACTGTCTATGGCACCTATAGCCTTATAATATGCATTTCTTAAATAATAAGACTTGAAAGTCAAAATTACTCCTTTATCCCTGGGCTGCAGAATGGGTTTTGTGTTAGTAGTCATGAAAACAACATTCATCTCCTTGTACGTCTCCATCAGATCTCTTGGGTGACCACATGCACTGTCAATGACCAGTAATATTTTCAAAAGTCTTTTATTCTGAGTAATAGGTCTCAACAGTGGCTTTAAAATAAACCATGTTGTAAACAGATGTGCTGTCATTCAGGCTTTGTTGTTGTTTCATTTCTAGAGCAAGGGCAGAGTAGATTTATCATAATTCTTAAGGGGCCCTAAGATTTTCATTGTAAGTCCTTTTTTTCATTTGTCTCCTGTTTAAATCATAAGTATAGAAACACCTTAATATGGTCATTATTTGATGGTAGTGAGATGGAAAATACTTTGCCATCTTAGAAAGGGTAATGACTAAATACTGGCCTAATGCATGTTTTTCCTCCGAGAAGGAGGAAAGCCACTTAATGGTCAACATTGAATCCTGTCAAGCAGAGTAGGAGGTAATATAGCCTCCTTTATAGCAATACAGCCTCAGGATATTCCTGAGATTATTGAAAGATTAAATAGACTGGACATGGTGGCTCACGCCTATAATCTCAGCACAACTGAAGATCCACAAAAGAAAGTAAAAATACGACCTTAACTGATGCACATTCCACACATTTGTGATTTGTTT